TCCTCTGGGTCTCACTTCGGCCACATTGCACAGGATTTGCTATCTACTGACCTCATTATCATTCATTTCTGTATTTCTAATTTCATGGTATATTTCTTATTTAACCCAAGAGTTCCCTAGAAGTTCCCTAGAAGGATGCCTGTGTGGCTCAGTGGTTGAGCATCTGCCTTCAGCTCAGGGTGATCCTGGGTCCTGGGATTGAGTCCCACATCGGGCTCCCTACAGGGAGCCTGCTTTTTCCTCTGCCTATGTCTCTGCCTCTTTCTCTGTGTCTCTCATGAATAAATAAAATTAAAAAAGAATAAAGAGTTTATAGAATGTTACTTCCTCAAAATAAGTTAACAAAGTTTGTTTTTAAAAATTTCAGATGTGTTGATCACTCTTTTGTTTTTAAATCCTAGTATCATTGCATCGTGGTACAAAACTGTGGCCCAAATTGTTCAGCTTTTAAGGGCAGGTTATTGTGGTGTTCTTAGTAGGGTCTAGTGGGTGGTTGATTTTTATAGATATTCCATCCTCCAAAGACAGAGTGGGAGAAGGCGTCCCCCAAAGTGGATTGTTTCAGTTTCCCACAGATCACGAATCGACTTTGCTTTATGGGTTTTTTTTTCCTTAAGATTTATTTATTTATTTATTCATGAGAGACACACAGAGAGAGGCAGAGACATAGGGAGAGGGAGAAGCAGGCTCCATGCAGGGAGCCCGATGTGGGACTTGTCCTGAGACCCTAGGAACACACCTTGGGCCGAAGGCAGGCACTCAACTGCTGAGCCACCCAGGCATCCCTGCTTTATGGGTTTGATGTTATGTGATGGATAACAAACTTTATGATGTTACATAGTCATTATAATTTTTATCTTTTCCCAACAACGTGAAATAACTTTTTCTGTTTAAAGCTTTTGTCCTGAATCACATCTCTGAAGATCAACACTGCTATTTCTGTTTTCACTTGCATATACTTACTGTGTTTTTGCCTGTCTTTTTACTTTTGACTGCTTCGTGTCATTTTGTTTCAGCTGGCTCTCTGGTAAGTAACATGTGAGAGACTTTTTTTTTTTTTTTTAATTTTTTACCCAATATAAGAAACTTTGACTTTTAAAAGTAGAGGGTTTTAGGGCAGCCCGGGTGGCTCAGCGGTTTAGTGCCACCTTCAGTCCAGGGCACGATCCCGGACCCGGGATGGAGTCCCACGTCAGACTCCCTGTATGGAGCCTGCTTCTCCCTCTGCCTGTGTCTCTGCCTCTCTCTCTCTCTCTCTCTGTGTCTCTCATGAATAAATAAATAAAATCTTTTTTAAAAAAGTAGAGGGTTTTTGTATTCATGTTGGTGGTGGTGATGGATATGCTTGGTTTTTATTGAATTTTATCCTATTGTGTTTCGTTGACTGGTCCCCCCAAGGCATTATTTTCCACAAAGGCAGGAGATAGAGCTTTACTTCTCTGGATTTATCTTTCCTTTGTTTTTTTTGTTTTGTTTTGTTTTGTTTTGTTTTTCCTTTTCTTTCTCTCTCTCTTTCTCCCTGTTTCCCCCTGGAAGAAATTTGATTGTAGGGGTAATCATTCCTTGATTTTCAGCCAGGTATCTCTAGACACAGTTTGTTTTGCCTGCTTTTGAGTTTCATACAATGTGTACCTTTCTGTGTCCGACTTCTTTCACTCAACAGCATGTTTATGAGATTGGCCATGTCGTTATGTGTAGCAGTCCACTCTCATTGCTGGCTAGTGTTCTGAGCCTCCATCCTGCCTTTGAGGGCTGTTGGGTAGCTTCCAGTTGAGGCTCAATGCAGCAGTAATGCCGTGAGCTGTGAACCATCTCTTGGAACTTTCCTGCTGCATCTGTTGCGTGACTGTGTCTAGAGCATGCAAGCAGGGGAGACCCTGCAGGTTGTGAGGTAGACACATACTCTGTTCTACTAAATGATCCCAAAGTTCCCCACCATGGTGGCCTGGTCCTTCCCCCTACCCCTCAGTGGTGTGCAAGCAACCTTGTTACCCCACATCCTGGGCAACACTGGCAGGTGGAGCAGGAGTGAATGGTCCTGATGGGCAGTGTGAAGAGCATGGGGATCGTGGGGAGGGCACCTCAGTGGGGTGCTGGGGAGGTCGTCCCAAGATGGCATTTATCCTGACTCATGGAGACCCAGGCCTGCAAGCTGCTGATTCTCAGAAAGTCACATTCCCAAGCCCAGAACAGCTGGCCTCTCTCTCCCCCAGGAGCAGAGCCTGAACCCTAGTTCCAGTTTAGGCGCCCCCAGCAGCCATCCCTCTCCATGTCTCAGTTCTCACACCTAGGATGCCCTCGGAAAGGTTTCATGAAAGAACCTGGAGCAGACAGTGGGGTTTACAGGTGTTGTAATGGGCTCAGGATCAGGCATACAGGGGCACCATCAAAGCCGAGGCTGAGCTCAGGAGGCATTGTTGTGGGCCAGACACCAGGTGCTGCTGTCACAAGCTCAGGGCTGAGCACCGGAGCATCATTCCAGGGAGGGGCCTGGCAGCAGCATCCCATTGTGGCCCTGGTGGGCCCTCGCCACTAACGCACTGTCCCTTCTCAGTGTCCTGTTGCTGCTCCAGCTGGATGAGTCCCCAGCCCGGTAGTAGAGACCCACTCCTCACTACTGTGAATAAACAAACCATGAGTTCTAGAATTCTCACACAGTGGAGACACCCTGCCCTGCCCTACCCCCACATCCCATTACAGGGACAAGTGTGGGCTGGGCACCTGCTGGCCATGGCATGTGGGCCAGGAGATCTTCAAAGCCTCTCCTCTCCATTTCCTTCTGCCAGACTTGGGTCTTCCCTGTATCTTGAAGGTAGGGCTTTCGGGACATGGGAGAGAGGCAGGAGGGGTCTGTTTGCCTGGGTGCTGTCCTCCTGTCTAAATTTAACCATATCCTGATGAACACATCCTCACCAGCCAGCATGATGTGCCAGCCTAAGGACCCAGACCCTATTGAAGCAGTTCCAGTTTGTAGGGAGGGTGCTCATGAACGCAAGGGAAGAGCCTTGTTAGGAATTGGGGAACAAGCAAACAGCTGTGTGGACCAAAGGAGCTTGTTTGGGAGGTGCAACCTAGGAGAACTAGGACTTGGGACGGCAATGTGAGGTGTGAGTGACAGCTATTTACATATCTACGTAAGGTCTCAACACCCTGTGAGCTGGGCTTTACTGTATCCCCTTTTCACAGGAGGAAACCAAGGCCCAGGGGACTTAAGTGACTTATGAAGCCAGGAGTCCATACCGGTTTTCAGTAGACTCTTTGGGTAAAAAACTTGGACCACCGTGTGACTGACAGAAGTCCTCCTGGCTCCCCACACTAACCAACCACTTGGGATCTTGTGGTGGTGGCCCTGTCTCAGGTCGCCTGCCCCTGATCGTTCCACCGCTTGGCAGGAAACATGCTGGCATGGGGTCTGTGAGTAGGGACATATCCCCCAACACTCAGGGACTGACTTTTCTTTTTCCCTCACTGTGTGACTCCCCTCATCAGACCAGTAACCTGTAGATTGAATGAGAGAGTGAGTGGTCTCCTACTTGGGGATGCCCTTAGACATCTGGAATGTTTTAGAGTGGTGAGGATGTGTGGACTGCTCCACAGAACTGACTGCTGTGCCTGGGATGACGTGGGAGTGGAGATGGGGGGCTGTGACCTTACAAAGACAGAAATCATGAGCCGAGACACATCTTCCTGTCACCACAGGTGACTTTTGGCCACAACATCGAAGTGTGGCTTGTAAGTGGGAGTGCTGTGACTCTCAGGCTCCAAGGTGGGTAGAGGTCATCCGCAGTAGAGTCTGAGCCACTAAGCATTCCGTATGTGTGGGCCAGTGATGCTGTGCCTCTGACGAGGTTGATCTGCAACACCTCAGGCCCCCAACCAACCCATCATGGCTCCCCACAGACTGAACTGCTGGACTTAGTGCTGGCATCTTCATGGTAGCATGATTTGTGGGGGATTTCTATGAGACAGAGCCTACTGGATGTTTCTGCTAATGTGTGTGGACCCCCCTAGATTAGTAGCCTTGTCTACTTCACCAACACAGGTGGTGGACCCCTTCACCAACATTAGGGACCCTCCCTAGGCAAGAACAAGCCTTGGTTACTGCTCCTGAGTCCCTGATGCTCTGCTTGGCATGCACACTGAGGGAAACAGACTTTCTGGAACCACTCCAGCTTCTGACAGTGTAAACACATGTCTAGCTTTGCCTCCGTGAGGATCCATGACTGCATGTTAACAGTGCGTTGGCCAGCCTAAACTTGACAGCAGGCTACATACATAAAAACCTTTTTTTTTTTTTTTGTCTTTAATCTTGGTCTCCAACCTTTGCTGTAGAATTTCTCCCTTTCTTGTCCTCAGTGACATTCAGTTATTAAATTGTCCAGTCTAAGATGGTCCAGTTCATGTTCTCAGTCTCATAACCAGGTCCATGCAGCTCCTTCTTCTCCTGCTTCTGTGGTTGGGGACAGGGAGGGGCAAGGAGGTGATTGACAAGCATCTCTACTTACTTCCCTATATGGTCATAGAGAGCATACTTGGCGGGTGTTTGTGTGTGTGTGTATGTGTGTGTGTGAGACCTGTGGAGGCAGGCCTGGAGTTGTGCAATGCAACCTCACTATCCATTGCTTTCTGGCGCCGCGACTACAAATGATCATGCTCACTTGTGCCCCATCACCTGCCCCTTGACTGGCAACTCACTCCTCAGATGAGTCTCCTCCTTCACTCCCCTATCTGCTTGTGTAAACGAGTGGGGTAGACATAAATCCTGGAGTGGTAGCTCCTAATAAGCCCTGGAGGGGCTGGCGGGTCCCCATTGTTTGGTGGATTGCTTTATAAAATGGAGCACTTGCTGTAGGAAAAAGCCCTTCCCCACTCAATGACTGGGATGTGGCCCTCTTTGCCTTTGGATGGTTTGCTGTGTGCTGTGGTGTGTGAGGGCTGCCTTTTACTGGATGAGAATCTGCTCAGGGCTGGCATGCTCCCCTTTCTACCTTTTTCCATAGAGTCCTGGTTCCAGACCTGTGGTCACACCAACATCGCTTGCAAAATGGTGAAGGGGAAGCTGGTAGAGGTAGGCAAGTGGCCATGGCAGGTGAGCATCCTCCTTCTGGGTGTATACATCTGTAGTGGCTCCATCATCCATCACCAGTGGATCCTCACAGCTGCACATTGTCTACAGAGGTCAGTCAGGGCAGCCAGCCAGACCTAGAGTTTTGCTTTCTGGCCTAGGGGATAGGGGTAGGCAGTAAATTCGGGGATCTGGGACTAGGGGCCCAGCTGGGTTACAGTGTGCTCAGTCTGTGTTTCTCTAACCACGTATGACCTCACTGCTAATTATCTGCCTCCTCCCCATGACCCTACAGATCCAAAGACCCCAAAATGTACTCCGTGAGGGTGGGAGTCCAACGCCTCCCAGAAAACAGCACTCAGCTCCTGCTCACTCGCATTGTGATTCACGAGGATTTCCACAACCTCATATCCCAGGACATTGCCCTTCTGAAGCTCAGAGCCCCCATATCCTGGTCCCCGCTCATCCAGCCTGTCTGCCTACCCAGCAGAAGATTTGAGCCATCTATCGGAACCTTGTGCTGGGTGATTGGGTGGGGATATAAAAATCCTCAAGGTGAGTGAAGGCAGGTGGAGGTTCCAAGACACTAGCCTCTTCTGAACAGAACTCCAGTATGGGCTTATTTGTTCATTCCCCCTTTAAAAAAAGGGGGGTGGTGGGGAGAGGCAGAGAGAGAGAGAGAGAGAGAGAGAAATCCCAAGCAACCTCCATGCCCAACCTGGAGCCAGATGCAGGGCTTGATCCCACGACCCTGAGATCATGACCCAAGCCAAAATCAAAAGTTGGACGCCCAACCGACCGAGCCACCCAGGCACCTCTCATTTGTTCATTCCCTTATTCACTTGTTCAGCAAACATTCCTGAGCACTTACATGTGCTGCACACTATCCTGGCCATGTCTCTTCAGGACCCCCAAAGGCCCCCTACAGTCTTCAGGAGAACACACCGTACTTTAGTGTAAAAGACACATGGCCTGCGTGAACCTCAGTTGCCAAAGTTAAATTAGATCCAGTGCCAAGCCTCACTTTGCAGCATGGCAGGGAATTAATTTTTGGCTATTAATGGGTTTCTCTGTCTGGAAGTGGCACATGATCTCAGAAAGTAAGGCATTGGGCAGCATTCATACATACTTGCTACCTCAAGGCACCAGGAATTCCTGGAGATCTGGCCTCTGTTGGTGCCATACTAGAGGCTTAGAGTCTAGGAGTGTTTGTGTAATCCTGTATTCCAGTGGGTGGCACACCCTGGGCTCTGGGGTCTTGACATCTTGCCGGATAGCTGTGGAGCAGTGCTCAGCCCCCACCCTCATGAAACCTGAATTAATAGAGTAGTCTCTCCTTGTCCTCATTCCATGCTTAGATGTTGCTCTGATCCCCTTGGAATACTTTCCCCCCCAAAATGGCCCTGCCTCCTACTCTAGTGAATCTGGACAAGTTTAAGATGGAGATGTGCCAAATAGTTGAAGGAATGACAAGGCATCTCTCTCTCTCTCTCTCTCTCTCTCTCTCTCTCTCTTTCTCAGTCTCTTCAGTAACCCCAAAGAGCCCCTACAGTCTTCAGGAGGTGGCTGTCAAGATCATAAACAGTGAAATCTGCCGTCATCAGTACCAGTTCCTCTTCTTGAAGGACCAGAAGCAGTTCATTGGGAATGACATGCTGTGTGTCAGCTCAGAATGGGGCATGGACTCCTGTCAGGTGCAGGGTGCTATGGCCCAGGGCAGGGAGAGGGCTTTCAGGGGTCATGTCTTCCTTTTCACAAGTTACTGGGTGACCTTATGAAAATCTCCTTTCCTTGGCCTTCAGTTACCAAGTCTGTAAAATAGAGTAACTATCTTCTTTGCACTTGGCCACAATAATGGTACTAATGGCAATACTTCTCAGGTCTTTTGAACACTTCTGAACATCAGTCACATGCCCAAGTGTGGACCAGGTGCTGGCAGAATCAGTTTTGCATAAGTGGCATCATTCTGAAAACATGGGCCTGACTCTTGAATCTTCTGTTGAACATTGTTTTTGAGATTTATACGTATTGATATGTGCAGCTCTAATTCATTAACAGCTCTCTATGATATCCTCTTGTGAATATGCCACAGTTTAAACACTCTACTATTTATAGTGCTAAGGTAGTTTTCAGGTTTTTTAAAAAAATCATTTATTTGAAAGAGAGAGCATGTGCATGTATGGGTGGTGGGGGAGGGGCAGAGGGAGAGAATCTCAAGCAGGCTTCCCATTGAGTGTGGAGCCCAACGCAGAGCTCCATCTCATGACCCTGAGATCATGATGTGAGTTGAAATCAAGAGTCAGGTGCTCGACTAACCTAGCCACCTAGGCACCCCAATTTTTCAGTTTTTTCATATCACAAACTGCTGGATAGTCCTATACACATCTCCCTGTTCACATGTTCCTGAACTTCTCAACAGGATGTGTCCTGCAAGGAACTAGTGGGTTATAGGCTGTGCATACCTTCATCTTTTCTTTTTTTGAAGATTTTATTTATTTATTTGAGAGAGAGTGCATGTAAAAAACAGTGTTGGGATGGGGGGGGGGTTGGAGGGGAGAGGGGCAGAGGCTCCCTGAGCAGGGAGCCCAACACGGGGCTCGATCCTAGGACCCTGAGACCATGACCTGAGCCGAAGGCAAATGCTTAACCGACTTTACCCAGGCACCCCTATACCTTCATCTTTAATAGTTACTGCCTAATTGTTTTCCAAATTGATTGTATTAATCCATATTCTTATAGCAATGTCTGAGAATTCTGTTGTTCCATATTGTTGCCAACATTTTTGGTACTGGCAGACTATAAAATGTTTTCCGTTCTGTTAGACGAGAAACAGAAATCACATTGTGGTTGGAGCGTGCATGTCCCTAGTTACTAGTGCCATTATGCATCTTTTCACATGCTCAGTCTCTATTCGTAATTCTTCTTCTATGACTGACTCACTCAGATATTTTGCACATTTTCTATTGTTTGCCTTTTTCTTTTTCTTTTTATATTCTGGATACTGGTTCTGTGTCCATTGTATATTGCAGATATCTTGTCCCAATTTTTTATTTATCTTTTTTTAATTTATCTTATCATTATGTTTATTCTTTTGTTTGCTGAACAGCAGTTTAGGTTTTATTGTAGTCAAATGTAGATCCATATTTTCCTTTCTGGCTTAAGTTTTTTGCGTCTTATTTAAGAGCTCCTTCCTTTTCCTGAGGTCATAAAGACTTCCCTATATTTTTGTTTCTTAAAGTTTGAAAATTTTTGGTTTTCACATTTAGGTCTTAAATCCACATGCATTCATTTTGTGAGTGGTGTTTAGATAGGGAGAGGACTATTTTTATGTTTTCTCATATGGACTTCCAATTGTCCCAGTGGCATCCACTGCAAAAACTCTTTACTAGATTTTTTTTTAAAGATTTTATTTATTTATTCACAAGAGACAGAGAGAGAGAGAGAGAGAGAGAGAGAGAGAGGCAGAAACACAGGTAGAGTAAGAAGCAGGCTCCATGCAGAGAGCCCGACGTGGGACTCCATCTGGGGTCTCCAGGATCATGCCCCGGGTTGAAGGTGGTGCTAAACCGCTGAGCCACCTGGGCTGCCCTTTCCTAGAGTAAAATATGACATCATATACATAAAATGTGGAAGTGGGGGGAATGAAAATGTAGTGTTTAGAAAATATTCAAACTTAAGCGACATTAACCTAAAGTAGATTGCTATACACATAGAATATTACAAACCTCAATGGTGACCACAAATCAAAAACCTATAATAGATACACACACAGGCATGCACAAAGAGAAAGGAATCCAAGCATAACACTAAAGAAAGTCATCAAATTGCAAGAGAAGAGAACAAGAGAGGAAGAAAGGAACAAAGAAGAGATATAAAAACAAGATAACAATCACCACAATGGCAATGAGTACATAACTATCAGTAAATACTTTAAATGTAGATGGACTAAACACTCCGATTGACTGAATGTATAAAAAAAGCAAGACCTATTTATATGCTGCCTATAAGAGACTCACTTCAGACCTAAGGACACATACAGACTGAAAGTGAAGGGATGAAAAAAGATATTCCATGCAAACTGAGGCAAAAAGAAAAAAAAACAAAAACAAACAAAACAAAACAAAACAAAAAACTGGGGTAGCAATACTTATTTGACAAAAGAGATTAAAAAAAAAAACCCAATGTAATAAAAAAGGCCTTATATAATGATAAAGGGACCAATCCAACAAGAGGATGTAACCATTGTAAATATCCATGCATCTAGTAGAGGAGCACCTAAAATGTGCAAAGCAAATATGAACAGACATAAAGGGAGAAAGTAACAGTGATACATACAATAATAATGGGGTACTTTAGGTACATCACTTACCGAATAGATTTTCCTGACAGAAAATCAGTAAGGAAACAGTGGCTTTGAACAGCCCAAGAGACCTTAATATACAGTATATATATGCTGAATGTTTTACGTGTGTGTGTGTGTATATATAATATACGTACATATATAGCATTATATATGTGCGTATGTATGTGTGTGTACATATACATATATATATAACATTCCAACCAGAAAACAGCAGAATACATATTATTTTCAAATACAGAAGTGCACATGGAACATTCTCCAGAATAGAGCACATGTTAGGCCACTAAAATAAGTTTCAGTGAATTTAAGAAGATTGAAATCATATCAAGCATCTTTTCTGACCCACAACAGTATGGAACTGGAAATCAATTACAAGAAAAAAACTGGAAGAAATGGAAACGTGGAGGCTAAACAACACACTCCCAAATAAGCAATGGGTCAATGAAGAAATCAAAGAGGAAATTTAAAAATACCTTGAGACAAATGAAAATGGAAATACAATAGTCTAAAATCTTTGAGATGCAGCAGAAGCATCTCAATTTAAAACATTTTTGTTGTTTTTAATTTTAATTCCAGTATAGTTAACATACAGTGCTATATTAGTTTTAGGTATATAATATAGTGGTTCAACAATTCTATACATCGTTACTCAGTGCTCATCATGGTAAGTGTACTCTTAATCCCCGTCATCTACTTCACCTGTCTCCCCACCCACTTTCCTTCTGAAATGCTTTATTTTAAATGAATACCATCAGCTACAGTTATTATTTTTTCAACAAGAACATTTTTTACTTGAGGAATATTTCAAAATACATGGTTCTAAAATATATATATATAACATTCCATCCAAGAAAAATAGAACACATATTTTTCTCAAGTATACATAGAACAATCCTCTGATTAAATCACATAAAAAGAGATAATAAATATTACAAATTTAAGACTAATATCATACTAAGGATGTTTTCCAACCACAATGGTATAAAACTAAAGATCAATAATAAAAACTGGAAAATCTACAATGTGAATATTAAATATTTAACATGTAAATATTAACACACTACTGCACAAGCAGTGGGTCAAATAATAAAATGGCAAGTCAAAATATGTCTCACAACAAAAGAAAAATAAAGCACAATATTCTAAAACCTATGGGATGCAGCAAAAGCAGATGTTATAGCGAAATTTATGTTATAAATACTGTGTTAAGAAAAAAGTTCGAATAAATAAATTACATCACAAGAAGCTAGAAAAAGGAGAGACTTAGCTGAAATTTAGTAGAGGAAGGAAATAAAGAAAAATCAGAAATAAATAATATAGAGACCAGAATAAACAATAAAATAATATTGAAAGTAATAACCAGTTTTTCCAAAAACAAAACAACATAAAACAAACAAAATTGGCAATGCTTTGACTAAAGAGCAGTTCTACGAGACAAGTTTATAATGATGCAGGCCTACCTCAAGAAACAAAATCTCAATCTAATCTTACACCTGAAGGAATGAGAAAAAAGAAGAACAAAGCCCAAAGTGAGTAGAAGGAAATAATAAATATTGGAGTGATATAAATAAAATAGAGACTGAAAAAAAAAATAGAAAAAAATCAATGATACTAAGAGCTAGTTCTTTGAAAAGTAAAACTGATAAACCTTTAGCCAGACTCAACAAGGAAATGAGAGAGGGCTCAAATAAATAAAATCAGAAATGAAAGAGAAGTTCAATCAACAGAAATACAAAGAATTACAAGACACAACTATGAAAAATAATACATGAAAAAATTGGACAACCTAGAAGAAATGGATAAATTCCTAGAAACATAAAATCTTCCAAGAATGAATCAGGAAGAAATTGAAATTTGGAACAGGCTGATTACTAGTAATAAAAGTGAATCAGTAATCAGAAAACTCCCAATGAACAAAAGTCTAGGACCAAATAGCTTCACAGGTGAATTACCTATTCTTCTCAAACTATTCCAAAAAAATCGAAGAGGAAAGAATGTTTCAAAATTTATTCTATGAGGCCAGCACTACCCTAATACAAAAATCAGACAGAGACACTACACAAAAAGAAAATTACAGACCAATATCCTTAATGAAACTACAAGCAAAAAGCCTCAACAAAATATTAACAAACTTAATTCAACAATACATTAAAAGGATTATTCACCATGACTACGTGGGATTTGTTCCAGGGATGCAAAGATGGTTCAATATCTGCAAATCAATCAACATGATACACCAGATTAACAAAAGGATAAAAATAATTTGACAAAATTCAACATCCATTCATGTTAAAAACTCTCAGCAAAGTGTGTATAGAGGGAAGAAACCTTAGCATAATAGAGGCCATGTATGACAAACCCACAGCACATCATACTCAATGGTGAAAAACCGAAAGCTTTTCCTCTAAGGTCAGGAACCGGACAAGGACATTCACTCTTGCCACTTTTATTCAACATAGTACTGAATTTTTAACCACAACAATCAGACAAAAGAAACAAAAGGCATCCAAATTGATAAGGAAGAAGTAAAATTGTCACGATTTTGAGGTTACACGATACTCTATATAGAAAACCATAAAGAATCCATCAAAAAAACTAATAGAACTAATAAAGGAATTCAGGAAGTTTCAGGATACAAAATTAATATACAGAAATCTGTTGCATTTCTATACACTAATAATGAAGTAGCAGAAATTAAGAAAACTCCGAAAAAAAAAAAAAAAAAAAGAAAACAACTCCGTTTACGATTCCATAAAAAAGAAAAAAATTCCTAGGAATAGATTTAACCAAGGAGGTGAAAGATGTGCAGTCTGAAAACTGTAAGATATTGATGAAAGGAATTGAAGATAACACAAATAAATGGAAAGATACACCATGCTCATGGATTGGAAAAATTAATCATTAAAATGTCTATGCTATCCAACACAATCTACAGATTCAATTCAATCCCTATCAAAATACCAATAGTAATTTTCACCAAACTAGAACAAATAATCCTAAAATTTGTATAAAACTACAAAAGACCCAGAATAGTCAAAGCAATCTTGAGAAAAAATAACAAAGCTGGAGGTATTACAATCCCAGATTTCAAGCTATGTACAAAGCTAGTGTAATCAAAATAGCATGGTATTTGCACAAAATAGACACAGATCAATGGAACAAAATAGATAGCCCCCAAATAAACCAATACTTCTATGGTTAATCTATGACAAAGGAGGCAGGAATATGCCATGAGGAAAACACTATCTCTTCAATAAATAGTGTTGGGAAAACCAAACAACTACATGCAAAAGAATGAAACTCAATCACTTTCTCACACCATACACAAAAAAAAACTCAAAATAGATTAAAGATCTAAATGTAAGACCCAAACCGTAAAACTTCTAAAAGAAAACATAGCAGTAAACTCTTGCACATCAGTCTTAGAAATATGTTTTTTAATCTATCTCCTCAGGCAAGGCCAACAAAAGCAAAACAGAAACAAACAAAACAGTTGAGACTACATCAAACTAAAAAGCTTCTGCACAGCAAAGGAAACCATCAACAAAATGAAAAGGCAACCTACTGAATGGGAGAAGATATTTGCAAATGATATTTTTAATAAAGGCTTAATACCCAAAATATGTAAAGAACCCATAAAAAAGAACCCATACAACTCAATTATCAAGACAACAACAACAACAACAACACAACCCCAAACAATCTGATTAAAAAATGAACAGAGGACCTGAAAAGACATTTCTTCCAAAGCAGGCATATAGTTGGCCAACAGACACAGGAAAAGATACTCAACATCACTCATCATCCGGGAAATGTAAACCAAAACCATAATGAGATATCACCTTACACCTGTCAGAATGGCTAAAATTAACAACACCAGAAACAACAGGTGTTGGCGAGGATGTTGAGAAAAGGGGAACCCTCTTGCACTGTTGGTGGGAATGCAAACTGGTGCGGCCACTGTGGAAAATAGTATGGAATTTACTCAAAAAGTTAAAAATAGAACTACCCTATGATCCAGTAATTACACCACTGGGCATTTACCTGAAGAAAATGAAAAGACTAATCTGAAAAGATATATGCATCCCTATGCTTATTGCGTTATTTACAACAGCCAAGATATGGAAGCAGCCAAACGTCCATCGATAGATGAGTGGGTAAGGAAGACCTCCAATGTATTTTTGGACTTTTTTCTTTTCTAATAAAAGTATTTAAGTCTACAGATTTCCCTCTAAATACTGCTCTAGCCTAATACCACATACTTTAGTATGTAGCATTTTTACTGTTATCTAGTTCTAAATATTTTCTCTAATTCCCATTCTTATTTCATTTTGATCTATAGCTTATTTATAAGCATTTTTTCCCATTTCCAAATACATGTGTGCTTGTTTGTTTTGTTAATGAGTTCCAACCCGCTTGCCATGTAATCATAAAATTGGCTCTACAATGATACCTGCTATATGGGATATGCTGCAGTTTGCCTAGTGGCCTGGTTTATAGTTAAGTTTTTTACTTATTTCATTGTTTTCTATTTCTCTTAATTTTCTTCTGCTTCCCTTGGGCTTGATTTGGTTTTATTTTTCTGTCTTCTTGAGCAAAAAGATTTACTCTTTCTAGTTTTGTGTTTGAAGTATTTAAAACTATGAAATCATCTTTTAATTAAACGTGGTTTCATCTCTTAAGTTTTATACTGCTGTGATTCCCTTATCACTACTTTATTTAAAAAGTATATACATAGTGTGATTTGAAAGGAAATGCATGCGTCTCTTTAAAAAAAGTAGCACATAAATGCAAACATTGGAAAATGAGACTTCCCTATAATCAAACTACCTAGAAATTTCCACTCTAAGTTGTTTAGTTTCTATCCCTAGCATTTCTTTCTATACAGATATGAAACCCCAAATAAGTTTTAGGATTTTTTTCTAGTTTTTATCTTTAATGAATGAAAGACTCTCCTATAATTTTATTCTCCAACAAATTTTTTACTTTCACTTGAAATAGATCTTGGACCATCTTGGACTATCTATGTAAATACATTCCATTCTCCTTGAATACTGAACAACAATTCTTTCATATTGCTATGTCATAATCTATTTAACCATTCTCCTATTGATAGACATCTGAACTCATTTCAATATTTTTTCTACCATGCCAGAAATCTTTGTTCATAGATCTTTGCACATTTATTCAAATATTTCTCTAAAGTAAATTTTTAGAAGTGTAATTACAAGATCAGTTGTATGCACATTTAAAATTTTAAAAGAGGGGCAGCCCCCGTGGCTCAGTGGTTTAGCACCGCCTTCAGCCCAGGGCCTGATCCTGGAGACCCAGGATTGAGTCCCACATCAGGCTCCCTGCATGGAGCCTGCTTCTCCCTCTGCCTGTGTCTCTATCTCTCTCTCTCTCTCTCTCTCTCTTTGTGTCTCATGAGTAAATAAATAAATAAAATAAAAATTTAAGAGATATTGACAAATTAGCTTTCTCAAATACTTATCCTTTTATATTAATACCAGCAGTATACGAGTGCCCCTTTCTCTATGTCATCACTGGCATTTAGGTATTATGTTTATTATGTTCCTCTGATAGACTAAAACTTTCATTTCTGCTTTAATTTCATGAAATTGAGCAATCCTGTTAATTGCTTGTACAACAAGTTATTAAATAGGAAGTTTCAATGAAGTAATGAAAATACAATGTGCATTAGGATTCAAAGGATGCCAGGGGTGGGTTGGGGGGTGGGATGGGGGATTGTCTATCCCACACTCAGATCTCCTGGGAGGGGTTTCAACAAGATCACCCAGGGAGCGTGATGTCAGCTATCAATCTCAAGACCCAGAGAGCAGGAAGTGCTGGTTCTCTTGCCTCCTCACTCTTCTGCTTTAACCTTGGTAGTAGGTTCAGAAAACAGGTTAGCAAGATGGGGTTGGGGCGGTTGCTGAATGAGAGGAACAGGAAAAGCAGTCCTGGCTCCTCTTTTCCCTCCTGCTTGCCAAAAGCCCTAGACAGCAGTGGGGAGAAGTTTTACTTTAGAAGTCTGACATTGTGATTGCTGTGTGGGAATGGATATTCTGATTTCTGAACTGAGATATGTTTATGAGACTGTCCTCATGGCGACACTGATTACATTAATCTCAGTGAGCAACACTTCTTGTTCTGCCCAAGCTTTTACCCAAGTTCAGGGAAAGAACCCAACTTCTAAATAAATTGTAAAAGGACAAAGGGAGTCCAGATAAAGAGACTTGTACTGTTCAGTGGACCATTTACACTTTTCTGTGTCCTTTGCTCATGGTTTTCTACTAAACTACTTTGGTTTTTATTGGTTTGTAAAACTCTGGATATCGCATGCTGTAGTAATTATTGATAAAGGAACATCATGTCTTTTTCAGCTTAATTTAAAATGGTTTATGAGTATATGTATTTTTATGTAAACACACATTCACACATATACACATACACAGATGGAGAGAGAATATAAAACAAATATGGTAAAACATTAACAATTAGTAAATCTGAGTAAAAATATTCTACTTACAGCAACTTTTCTGTGAGTCTCAAATTATTTCAAAATGAAAAGTTATTAAAAGTTTTGAGAACTGGAAGTTTTAACCCATTATAAAATGTTTTATGATATTTTACTGATCTGTCCATCATTTGCCTTCTTTTGGTGTGGACTTTTTTCCATAGAGTTATTTAAAAATTTGATTTTTCATTATTTCCCTTGATGATAGTGCTTTTTGTGCTGTGCTTTTCTACCTTTCCCACCCAAAGATTATAAAATTTTTCACTCACGTGTTCTTAATTCTTTTTCTTTAAATATTTTAATTTTGATTCATCTGGAAGGTTGAGAGAAGGAATCTGTTTTATTTTCCTCCAAATATAGCCAGTTATGTAAATAATCTTTCATTGAATACTTTAATTTTTTTGGTAGTGAATTAGAAATGCCCCCTTTAGAAGCTGCCTGACTGGCTCAGTCCTCAGAATGTGTGACTCTTGATCTTGGAGTTGTGAGTTTGAGCCCCACGTTGAATGTAGAGTCTACTTGAAAATAAAATCTCCAGGGATCCCTGGGTGGCGCAGCGGTTTAGCGCCTGCATTTGGCCCAGGGCGCGATCCTGGAGACTCGGGATCGAATCCCACGTCGGGCTCCCGGTGTATGGAGCCTGCTTCTCCCTCTGCCTGTGTCTCTGCCTCTCTCTCTCTCACTGTGTGCCTATCATAAATAAATAAATAAAATAAAATAAAAAAAATAAAATCTTACAAAAAAAAAGAAAGAAAGAAAGAAATGCCCTTTTATTATACTTTACATTCCCATTTTATTTTGGTCAGTCTTTGAGTCTTGCAGTCTCATTCCTCTGCCAACACCATTCTTCTTAAATTATTGTATTTCTTTCTTTCTTTCTTTCTTTCTTTCTTTCTTTCTTTCTTTCTTTCTTTCTTTCTTTCTTTCTTCTTCTTTCTTGTATGTGGTAAGGCAAGTCTTCCTTCATTATTCTCCTTTTAAAGAATTTGCCTGGCTGTCCTCCCATGTTCATTCCAACTGAACAATTTTAGTATAATGTCAAAAAGAAAATCATGTGGTGATTTTGATGGAAATTAATAGATTAATTTAGGGAAAATAGACTATTTTGTTCCATTTCTTTCTGTCTAGAGCAAGGATATCACAGCTTTCTCCACATAGTTACTACAAGCTGCTGCTGCTTAAGAATATGCCTGTTTTATATCTGTTGTGAGCAGTATGTTTTCTTTCATTGTATTTTCTTTTAAAGATTTTATTTATTTATTCATGACACACACACACACAGAGAAAGAGAGAGAGGAGAGAGAGAGAGAGAGAGAATGAGAGATAGGCAGAGGGAGAAGCAGGCTCCATGCAGGGAGCCTGTCGTGGGACTTAATCCCCTGTCTCCAGGATCACACCCTGGGCTGAAGGGGGCGCTAAACCACTGGGCCATTAGGGCTGCCCTTTCATTGTGCTTTCTACTGGAATTATATATTTGGTTTGTGTGTGTGTGAGTGTGTGTGTGTCTGTGAGTGTGTGTGTATATGTAACAAGCATCCTTTGTGGATCTAGTTGATTCTCTTTAATTTTGCAGGTCCAGAGCCGTATTATTTGAAAACAATGATAAATTTACCTCCTTCTTTACAATGCGTGTGCTTCTCATTTTGTCTGCTGCAGTGCAAGAACTATATTCCAGAACAATTACTCTATCTTCCAGGAGACGCTATGCCATTTTGTTTTAGGCATGTCTCTTGTTAAACAGCTTAAAGCTGGATGCTGTTTTTGTCCGCATATCTGGGGGAATATCCTTTTATCCACTTGATGAGAAGAATATTTCTTTCTGTTCCCCTGCCTTATGTTTTGGGTTGATTTTTTTTCCACACTCTACTTTTCTGCTGCAGTGGTTTACAAGTTGTCATGTCTCAATTTGGTGCTGCTTCTGATCACCCTATATTTTCCACACACATATTTAGAGCCGAATTAACACCTAGAGTTAATCAGTGGCTACAGCTTCCTCAACAGGACCAGACCTTCCTTCATTTTCACTTTCTTCATTTTCTTCCCCCAGACTCATCCTCTTGTTGAAAATATCTTGTTGAAGACAGCAAGCTGAACTCTTGTTATATCTAAGAGTTTTTAGTTGACTTTCTTGGGCTTTGCAGGCCTACATTCATATGAGCTGTAATTAGTTATGATTTTTTTGCCTGTTTTGTTTTCACGATATTTGCTTTTTTCATACCGCAGGCACATGTCCCCCAAAAAGCCTGGAATTTGCCTTGTAGCTGGCCTTCATGGATGTGCTTCTCACGCTTCATCATGAAGCCTGGTGCTAATCTGGCATATCATCTGTCAGGGAGAGAGCCATTCCTTCCTGATCTGCTATAGCATTTTGTTCAGGAATGAATGCCTTGCTTCATAAAATGTGTTTTCTGCAGCTCTCAAGATGACTCCATGCTCTGATCAGATGTGCCGAGTCAGCTCTGAGAACAGATTCCTCACGTCTGCCTAGCCTGCATGCCAGGATCGTCTTTCCCTGCTCAGAGTGTAATTCTGCTTCATTCATCTGTCAGATTTAGATTTATAATCTCTTTTTTTAGAACATGTTTAATTTATTTTTTCTTCCAACAGACACCCTGTGCTGGGCCCTGGAACAGGCAC